CTGGCGTGCGTTAGACAAGAGTGTATTGGAGATCGGATGAGGAGAAGAGGAGAGAAAAAGGTAGAGGAGAAGAATGACAGAGGAGTGGAAAGAGGATTAGAGGAAAGAGAGGAAGGAGAAGTGAATAGGAAGGAGGTGCAGAAAAAGAGGAAGAAGCCGAGAAAAAAATAGTAGAAGAAGACAGATTTCTTTATCCTTGTACTTTCCTCTCTCTCCTCCCACTCCTTCCTCTCTCTTTTCTCCTTCATCCTAAAATATCATATGAAGTGTCATATGAGGCGTTGAGTGTAGAAAGGGCATTTTTCAGTTCCGGTGTTTCTAAATTTCCATTACTAATTTATATGTTAAGCAGGAAGCTATCGGGTGAATTTTCTGGAATTTTTAGTTTCCAGCATTGTAAAATCGTGAAGAGAATTCAGTAAAATTCTAAAAAAAATTGCATGCGTTTGCTTAAATTATAATGAATGAAACGTTAACGGAGGCCTTGAGACACGGCAACCAAGAAGTGCCCTTCCTGCAAACAGCGCTTTATGCACACGGATATGCAATCATAAAAGTGCAAAACCAAAGTTTAGAGAGCCTCAAAACCTGTCATATTGGATAGATCAGACCTCTAATTCCAACACTGTAGGCGTATAAAAAAAATTGAGGATACGGTTTATTTCATTTAGAAGAGGGCGCGAAGTATAATTAATGCAAAAATTTTCGTTGTTTGATCTTTTGCTATCCATTTAGCCTATAATTTGTAGATCTCCCTATATCTCAAAAATTAATTATTTCGGACTTATTTTTATTCATTAAAAGGTAATTTAACAAATACTTATTATTGATGCTATTATTGCTTTTATTGCTAATTATTGATGCTATATTGATGCAGTTTTGACAGAAGGATAATTGTGATTCTTTTGGCCTCACATGCCTTACATTACATACAGGAAGCTCGTGAAAAAAGCAAGCACTCCCTCATATTGAATCCTAACCATCGAGTAATTTGTTTAATCAAATCTTCGACTTGATTTTGCAATGCGGCTCCAAAGCTATTAATTTAATCCACGAGAGGGACCGCTCAAATTATGGCGCGATTTTACGGGCTGTATAATTTTACGACTTATCACGTGTCGAGTCATCAAAAACGATCATTAGTGCAAGTCTGGTTGTTTCGGCTGTGTCTTCCGTCTGAGATGACCGAACAGTTTTAGCGAACAGTAAGTTGAAATCAAATAATGGACGAAAATCTCGCGATCATTGGCGATTTTGCAATTTGGCAACACAGTTTTACCGCCATTTAAATCCATTATAAACATCGATTTTAGGTGAGGAAAGCTACCTCGCCAAGATTCGATTGTTTTACATACATTTAGGAGGAAAAACAGTGTTGCGAACTTTCATGAATCGCCACTGCTTGCGATTAGTCCGTCACATACTGCCGTGCTAAGGTAGAACGCCGTATAAACCTTCAGGCGTGGCCAAATTTCCTCCGATAAAAACCGGAATTACTGGGAAAATTGCTTTTATTAATTTCCAAAATTTTCAGACAATTTGGCACGCAATTTGATCTAAAATATCTGAAAATTTCAAGGAAAAATATGCTTAAATTTTCTCGTAAATATGTGTTTTATCCGGTGAAATTTGGCAACTCTCGAATGTTCATACGGCGTTCTTCCTTAGCATGGCAGGATAGGAATTTGTCTTAATACAGAGCGGATTCATGGCATATCGATGAGCAAAGTAAAGAAATGTGCACTTCAAACTGCGACGTCGAAAAATATCCAACTATGTTTTATTTAATTAAAAACCTTTTTTTTAAAAAAAATTAAATTTTTAAATTTTGTGTGAATGTTTCTCACTCACTCAAAAATATTCACAGCACATTTAAGGAAGATGCTTTGTTTTGTATCGGTATTCCTCAGAGGAACTAAATAAAACACAATTGTAGATTTTGTGACATTGCAATATCTTATGTGCAATGTTGCGTGTTTTTACCATCCTACTTATGGTATCGATGGGTATCGATGGCTAAAATTGGAGTTTCTGTAAAATAAGGATCGTTTCCCCGTAGATGGTCACACATTGTCGTATCTCAGACATAGAAATATAACTCCATTCCTAACTTGAAAAATTGACTCATGCAATTCCATTTTTTATCTCAGGAAATGACCAGTGCTGAATTTATCATGGAATGATGAAATTATTAAAATTTTAGTTAGAGAATTTCCAAAAATTTCCTTGTAAGAAGACAATTTGCAGTTGGAAATTTTGCAACGCTGAAAAATAAGGACGTTTATCATAGAATAACAAAATTAGTGAAATTTTGAGTAAAAATTTTACTTGTAAAAAGATAATTTGCAGATGGAAATATTGCAGCGCTGAAATTTAGTTACCTTCTTTCCTCTGAGCAAAGACGAAAATACGCATTGACAAGAATAGTTCGTCTTTGTGGACGTTCTCTTTTATATTTTCGTCATTTTCTGCACCGGTCGAACCGAACAAATGAAGAATTCAGGGCAATTATGTTCACGTCTTCGAGGAAAAATAGACGCCAGGAGGATACGAGCTAGAGTAAAACGCATCACACGCTGCGCCGTACGCTGGAAGTTAGAAAGCGCGTGGCCGATCTTACATGGGAGCACGTAAGACCGATTTGGAGAAAATTAGTCCGATGTGCGGATGGGAAAAAGTCGCATTTTCGAATGCAGTTCGTATCCTTCGTTGCCAATTTCATCAAGAACGCGGATTATCTCACTGCAATCATTTAACTCAATCTTCTATGTGTTTAGTACATTTTTGGCCAGGAAACGCTAAGATATCATGTGTTTTTTTTGGAGAGGGGGGGGGGCTAAGTCTAATTTTGACCTATATGAATTGCACTTTGCAAAAAGGAACGAAGAGCATTGCAATGTAGCTAAGATTCTGCTACTTCTTTCGTCTTAAAAGAAAAACCTGATCATCTGTAAACAATTTCTGTTTTACACCTCATAAACTAAAAATTTAAGACAATAATTACCATGTAAATTTCATATTTTTGCATGGTTCCAGCACTATTACTGCAAAAGATGAAGTTGCACAATCTTAGCAACATTGCCTTGCTCTTGGTTTCTTTTTGCAAAATGCAATCCGTATAATCATTCCCTATGTGGATCGCATTCAGCAAAAAGGAACCAGCGTGATTACGGTGTTGAAAAATAGTTGCTTCTTCATATTTATCAAAAAAGTCTCCCACGATAGCAAATAGTTTTTGCTTCCTACCAAAAACGTGTTAATTTTAAAGGGAAATAATTGCGTAAGTTTCAATACTATGCATTTATTAAGTATTTTTAACAGGGGAAAAAAATTGCACGAGATTGAAAACACTGTAATTGCGCTGGTTCCTTTTTGCTAAATGAGATCGAAGTTCCGAATGTTCCGCCTTGATAAAACCTGTATTTTTGTCGAAATTTATGAATATTATTCCTTGAAATTCTCAGACATTTCAGATTGAATTACGCACAAAACTGTCTGAAAAATTTGGGGAAAATTATTCGTATTTTTCTTAGTAAATTCTGTTTTTATCGAATGAAATTTGGCAACGTCTGGCGGTTCATACGGCGTTCTTTCTTAGCACGGCAGAATAGGGCATACTTTAGAGTTACTCAGTCCCAAAAATTGTTCAGCTGTAAAAATCAGTATATTCAAAAATGATAAAGAAATAAATACACTGAGCGTGAGGTATGACAAAGTACAAGTAAAAATGATAAACTGTAGCTTTGCTCAAGAACAACTTCATTCTCTCTCATTTTGCAATCAGGTCCAGAGAGATGCTCTGCTTATTTGACATTTAATTAAATTATATACTTCGAAGGAAGTAGTTTGTCCATACTGTGTGTTGATAATATCAGCCGTAAAAAATGATGATGATTTTATCACGATGCTTCCAATTTAATTTTACACTCCCTTTTATAACAATGGTGGACCTCTGCCGCAGACCCAGCCGTTTGTCAAGACAAGCAACTTTCGAACTGGAGGTCCATGCATATAATTGCACAAAAGGTAGACTGCATATTGCCAAAATGGAACAAGGGCATTACGATGTTGAATTTGATCATGCTATTTTTGTCAATTCCGAGCGTCTACAGTAAAGAAGACCTCATAATCAACGCCGGCATTATTTTTAAAGATCACTTTGAATTTAGATTCTCTCCACTTACTGCCATTAAATTTTGTCAAAAAGCTCTTGCCTCCGACAATCTTCATCGATACTTCAGGATACAATGATGAAAAGTTGATGCTTTAAGAATATCGACTCAATGGAGAACTTGCATCCAAATTTTTTATTGCTTCATCTGAAAGTGCTTGAAGAGCTGATTTCACAGCACTTTTTATAATTGTTTTCTGATCTGGGAAATAGTATAGAAATATATTTAAAAGTTAGAAAATGCACCGCCTAGTGACGTCATCTGGAGGCATTTTCCCATGTATTTGCAGATTTGATCACTTTGTTGTATGTATCATCTCCAATAATTGTTCAATTCATGGACTGAGGGTCTCTTCGTGTTCAGTTCACTCAGTAGTTTCCACTTAAACACGAAATTCATCAAATCGACACCTGCAAATTATCTATTATCAACGCGTTTAAACGTAACACTAGCATATTAAAAATTCGCTGCTTGAAGTATTTTTGATCATACTGACACGAACGCCTTCAACATCCGAATCAGGCAATTTGGGTGGCTTTGGTGTAATTATTGTTGCTTGCAAGGGTAATTGGGCTATATTTATAAGTTCAAAGTACTGGCGAATGGAATTATTTGACGCTTACACTGACTAGCGCCTTCAATAACTTGTTCAGGCAACGTGAGTGACTTTGAGCCACTGAACGTTGCTTCGCGGAAATAACGCAATGTTTACCGATCTCAGGTGTATTTTCTTTAATGTAGAAATAAATTTGTGATTTATTTCATTGTTTTAAATATTGCCGTGACTAATATTATTACTTTTTAACAAGTCGTGAATGTAAAATTTACCTTTCTTCAGCAGGCCAGTTTTACAGCTGCATCTCCTTTTGATCTGAAAAAAAGAGAAAACTACATTCAATATTTCGAATCTCCGACTATCAAAGAATTATTTAAGGACCATCAATTCATAAAATTGGCACAATTTTCTAGTTTCTTCTTTTCCTCTTTGAATTTAAGATTCGCAGCAAACTTAGAGAGTCAATTTATCAAACATCAAAGCAGAATCGAGTTGATTGCTTAGTTACATACTTCGAAAACACGCTATCCCTGTCATTCTATAACTCTTTTCTCGGCGAAATTCCCTGTTGTTCGACCAGTCTAGTCACCTTTCTCGTGCAAGAAAGTGATTCTAGGCTCTTGATGCATCTCTTCCGCTGAATTTTACTGCCGTGCTGAGGAAAAACGCCGTATGAACCTTCAGGCCTTGCCAAATTTCTTATGATAAAGCACCAATTTCCTGGTAGACTTATGAATATTTTCTTTCCATTTTTCAGATAATTTTGTTCGCAATTTCACCTGAAGTCCGTGAAAATTTCAAGGAAAAATACTCATATATTTCCTAAAAAAATAAATATTTTATTGAAGGAAATTTGGTAACTCTCGAATGCTCATACTTTGCTATACCATGCCAAATTTCCTTTGATAAAACGCTAATTTTTGGAAAAACTTATGAATATTTTCGCTCCAATTTTTCAGATTATTTTGTTTGCAATTTCACCTAAAGTTCCTGAAAATGTCAAGGAAAAATATTCTTAATTTTCTTTAAAAATAAACATTTTACTGAGGGAAATTTGGCAGCTCTCGAACGTTCATACGGCGTTCTTTCTTAGCACGGCAGAATTATGGAACAGCGAATGATCAGCAATGAAGGAAATCGGTTCCAAAGCACGTTTACGAACAAAAAATGATATAGCGTGTTTCAGCACTATAATCCTCTTCGATTCTGGGAGGGCAAATTTCAACGAATAATTTTGCAACCGCGTTTGGAATAGGACAAAGATTTACGATCCGACGGACAATGACGTAGGTCAGTCACCCCGGGCAGACCGCAGGCGACCCCTCATTGAAAATACACGACGGCGCATATTCATTTTTATGCAGTAGGAATAGCAACCCACTTCAAAACAAACATCGTAAAAATTTAACCGTCCATTCGGTTTACTCGATATTTGCAAAATTGTAGCCGACACCGACTGTGTTATAGCCGCCACAGGAGATCACACTGAACAGACCGCATTTAAGCCGCCCGAACAGGATAAATCAGCCCCGGAGTAACCGATTATATAATCGGGGTTTGTATTGAATATACGTGGTTATAGTCTGATATGGAAGCATATTGTATCGCTGAAAACTGTTTCACCCCGCCATGGAATAACGCCATATACGCATTCAAATGTTGCAGAATTTCTCACGACGGAACGTATTTTCGGACATATGAATAAATATTTGTCCTTTATTTTTTCACGTACAATGCATTTCCTAATAGCATGATGTCGCTGAGCAGATTTTTTTTGAAATATCTATATACACTATAAAATGTTGGTGTCTTTTTGAACGAGAAAACGATAGGATATTTGAAAAAAAACGATTTTAAACCGTTTAAGGAGATAAATTATGGTGATATACATGCGTTTTTAACATGTTTTTAACATGCTTTTTCTAACATGTTTGTATTGTGTGTTGCGTTTTCTAATCATAATGATAAAACTTTTGAAACGTTTCGTGAAATGTATTATTCCTTTATGAAAAGGACGTATCAGATATTAATTCCCCTCTTTGAAAGTGTATGAAATTGATTTTTTGAAAACATTTATAGAATATTCTCATTTCTTATACAACCAAACATGAATTTTTTTTTTTTTTAAATTTGAAAAGCATTTTATATCAGAACGAAAACTGTCCAAAGTGGCTCCAGAAATATTCTATCTATTTTTACAATTTATTTTTTTTTCTGGCGTGATGCGTTTTAGCGTTAAACGGTGAAGAAAATGTTCTGAAAGATTCGAAGGTTAAATCCAAACCTTATCCAAAAAATCCGTACGTAATCGAGTAAAATGTGACAACTTGCCTTATAAGCCTTGAAATGTTGAAGCGGCGATATTCCTTAAAACTGTATAGATAGCAGCAATATTCGTAGCTCAAGTGGCAAAACAACACTCTTATAATTCGATTTGATCCCTAAAATTCGAGTTTTCCTGTGCCCTTAATGATTCTTGAAAAAAAAAGTACGAGTTTTTGCCGGTAAAGTAACATATCGTCACCCGTTAACTCTGTTGAATCGGTGGGTTAAAAACCAAGTATGATCATTATTTGATGAGCCCTACATTGATCAGTTTTTATGGACGATTAAAAAAGGATGATTATAAGGTTCTAAGGCTGATTAAAAAATGGACCGAGTTTAACAGAAAGGAACCAAGCCACATCAGCTATTGCCAAATTTAACGGGGCAATTAAATTTTTTACGAGAGAATTTTTGTGCGGAGTCCTTCAAAAGTTTTAAGTATAATGTGCTTCAAACTATGGAGAATTTTCACTGAAATTTGCACAAAAAACCGGACAACCGTTTTTGTGTAAAAATTTAAATTGCTCAATTAAATTTGGCAATAGCTGATGTGGCTTGGTTCCTTTCTGTTTAACGCCGTGCAAGTGAACTTTCGTGGTTTCAAAAATGACCAATTCCATTTTGCAACCCGCCGGACAGCTCCCGATGGTTGGAAGTGCAGTTTTAGGTGTACTTGGGTTTTGAAATGATTTTAATTGGATTTTTGATTGGATCGGTTTATGAGTTTGGGAGCCCGAGTGCAGAATATAAAACAATAAAAACTCGTCGCGCTTTTGACTTGCAAATGTTCGCAGCTACAGTAATTACATAATTGCGAATTACATCGCTCATTGAATTCAACGCAGCCGACGTTGCGGAGTGATATACGCGTGCGTGCGTTATTACTGTGATTATGGACAAGTCTGACGTGCTCAGTTAAAACGTCGTATGATCCTTCGAATGTTGTCAAAGTTCCTATCAGAAAATATTTATTATCGAAGAAAGTTGTGAATATTTTGAAACCAGTGTTCGAAACTCGCAGGCGCCAACGCGCCAAATGCGCCTAAGAAATAGGTCATGGCGCCTAAAAAATGAAGACTACGCCAACGTGGCTCTTAAAAATCACCCCCCCCCCCTCAAAAAGAATCCTAATTTTTATGTTCGGTGATATTTGGAGCGGAGCTTTTCTCTTCCCTAAGTTACAGCTACTAGTTCTGTGACTAAAATATCTTGCGTCTAACTTTTCACTAAATACGCCGTGATATAAGGGCAAAAAGTCAATTTGGCCCCTAAAAAATCTTCGGCTCCTAAAAATCGAGCTTGATGGGTCACGTGGCTCCTGACACTCAAAAATGAGTTTCGAACACTGTTTGAAACCTTAAAATTTTCAGCCATTTTAGATCAAATTACGGACGAAATCCTGTGAAAAATCTGAAGACTTTCCCGGGAAATTCGTGATTTGTCGAAGGAATTTTGGCAACGCCTGTTGGCTCATGCAGCGTTCCTCGTTTTCGCGGCAGAAATGACTTGCTTTCTCAATTTAGACCATATTCAAAAGCCGAGAAGCAAATGACCATTGCTGTCTTACTGACGAAAAACGCGATATGAACACGCGAGCAATGCTACAATAATTGATGTAAAATTAAGTTATGAAAAAAGTTTTTTATATTTTCCTCGGAATTTGCAGGAACTTTAGATCAAATTGCGAATAAAATTATCTGAAAAAATAAGAGAATATGGTTTTAAAAATTTCTAAAATTTAGTATTCTATCGGAATATATTTGGCAGCGTCTGAAGGCTCATACAACGTTCGTCTTTATCCCGGTAGATTGGCGCTGCTTAGTCAGAGAGAAGTGTCATGATGGTGTAGTTCTTGCTGTATTGCGAGATAAAAATTAAAAATAAATTAATAAAAAAAAAATGGTATCATTATGACATCATCCATCCAAGCTCGCAGCTTTTACGGACAGAAAGTAAAGGACTCAACGACCTTTAAAGTCACGCCTTTGCAACCAACAAATTGTACCATTTGATTCCATTAGTCCCTCACTGTAACTTTTGACCCAAAGAAAAAAGAACATTTTAAATGGTATTATCATTCCAAACGCTTATAACATCATACTTACATACTTCAAATTATAACATGAAATTTTGACCAAATTTTCATAAAAATATTGGATTGCGATAAGAAAGAGAGAGAGAGGAGAGAAAGGAGACGGATAGGGAAGGAGAGGAAGAGGAAAGGAATAGGAAAGGAATAGGAAAGGAGAGGAACAGGAAAGAAGAGGAACAGGAAAAGAGAGGAACAGGAACGGAGAGGAACAGGAAAGGAGAGGAACAGGAAAGGAGAGGGATAGGAAAGGAGAGAGAGGAAGGAGGGTCAAAAGAAAAAGAATGGGAAGAAGAGGAAAAAGAAAAGTAAGGAGATAAAGAAGTAGAAAAGAAGGTGAAGGAGAAGGAATGAGGAATGAACATGGAGATATATGATAAATTAAATCAATAAAAACAAAGTGAGCGCAATATTGGTGCCCCCACGCAAACGCGGACTTTTTGTGCCCCTCGCGACGGGTCCGACCTTTGCCCAACTCCATTCACAAACATTTTAAGCGCCGTTTAAGTGCAAATGACCCTCCAATCGCTGCCCCGCAGCCCGTCCTCATCTGGCGCCATCGGCGCCGCGACCGGGCCCGCAGTGGCGTGGCGTGAATTGCGATACATCGATTGTTATGCCATTTAAACCTATGGACAAGGATCGATAAACAGGGTGTTCGCAGCGGACACCTTAATAATCGATTCTTCACCATAGCTTCGAATGGCGAGATATCGATGGTCGATTATTCACGCCACGCCACTGCAGGCCCGATACTAAAAAACCAGGATTATTATTGACACGGAAGAGAGCGATAAAGCAGTCGGATTATTCACGGGGGGCGGCAGAGGGGTCGTCCGCGGCGGAAAAAAACACGTCCCAAAGCGCGGCTGCATTGTAAAAATTGCATCAGCATCGCCGA